CGCAACTATCATTAACGGCGGGGCACCGCTCCGCTCCAGGCACCACTCAGCACACGGCCAGAGAAGCCACGACACCTAACCACAGCAGCAGCAACGGCCCACGCACCCACGCAGGGCTCCCACTGCCGTCCGGCTCAGTCGAAATCAGCGCGTCAGGAGTCACGCCGTTCACTCCAGACAGATCTCCGCTCAGTCCAGTAGCATCAGCGCCCTGCTTTGCAGCCCCCGCCTCACCTGCGGTGGATGTCGTCGACAACTGCACGGCATCTGCAGCGTCTTCAGAAATGGCCTCAGCAGTAGCAGACTCTGCAGCAGCAGACACTGCAGCTTCTTTAGAGCTAGCCTTAGCAGTAGCAGACACGACAGCCTCAGCAGCCTCAGCCTCAGCAGTCACCGCAGCCTCAGCGTTATGCTGCGCGGCATTCATGTTCTGTTCTGCCTTCAACGCGTGTTCCCTTGTTTCTGTAAGAAGCCGTACTGTCACCGCAGTATTGGCAGCAGCCTCCTTAACCTTCTTCGCGCTGTCGGCCACAAGCGTGGCAATATCTGCTGTTAGCTTGAGTTTCGCAAGCACATCCTCAGATTTCAATTTGATCGTGAGGTCGGTCGGCAGTTTCTTCAATTCTTCCCTGCGCTCATCGGGAGTCATTTCTTTTTTGATCTCAATCGGTGCGGCACCTCTTCTGGGCGTTTCTACGTCCTCCTCATTCCTCGGGGCTGTCTCGGCGTCCTGCACTGGCTTCTGTTTCTTGGTATCTGCTTCTGCTACGGCATTCGTTGCCGCCTGCACGCCGTCCTTCAACACCTGGGCAACGGCTTGCGCTACCTCCGTCGCAGTGCCCAGTGCCTTCCCAGCCTTTTCTGCTGCCAGTGTGGCGCTGTTCTTTGCATCCTCGGCCATCTTTATCGCCGAGGAAACAGCTTTCTGCGCCTTCGCTGCGGCCGCCTCACACTTCGCTCCTGCCGCCTCGCACTGCTTCCTTGCACTTGCTGCCTTCGCCGCCGCATTCTTCACTGCCCCCTGCGCCGCACTGACCGTCTCCATCACGGCGGTGGATTTTACCTTTGCATCGTTAGCATGCTTCACTGTCCTCTGTATCTCATCCACCGTATTGTTTAGTTCCAGCGTGGCTTCCCGTGTCTTATCCATAGCCTTTTCAATCTTCTCAACCATCGCCGCCGTTTCATTCACGAAGCCCATCATTTTCTCCGTTGGGAGACAGCCGGGATCTACTGCAGCCCCCTCTTGTGCGGCCTCCAATGCTGGCACTTGTGCGACACCGGCACTTGAAGGAGAAGTCCCTGGATTAGTAGGAGTCACTGTCGTTAGAGTCAATGGATTGAGCGTCAACGCAGGACATTCCCCATTTGTTTTCTGGTCCTTTTTGGCTTCATTGGTAGCAGCCTCCAGTGCCACTGTTGCATTCTTCTTGACCTCCTCAGCAAATTTCACTGCCTCCTCAATCGCCTCCCTTGCTTTGGTTGCAATGGACACCGCTTCACTGGCACTATCAGCCGTTGCGCGGGCGCTCTCCGCCGCCTTCGCAGCCGGCGCCACCTTCCCGTTTGGCTCCGCACCGGCCGCTGCTGGAGCTGGCTGGTCCTGGCCTGAGCCCCCAGCAGTCACCGCCGCACCGCTGCCGGCAGGATGCGCCAGCCCCCCGGGTGCCGAGGCGTGGTGGCGCCCGACGCCACTCGACAGCTGGACAGGCTTCTGCGAGGTAGCAGCCACACACCCACAGTAGCAGCACAGCGCAACGGTCAGCACACACAGCACGCGGCGCCGCACGGACATTGGAATAGCCTGAGAGGTNGCCTGAGAGGTACCTGGTGTCTCTGCGGGGCGGGAGAGGGCACGCACAGAGCAAATAGGGCACACGCAGAGGCACAGCAGAGGAGAGAGCAGCAGCAGCAGCCAAACGGCGCACCGCACCAAAGAGGCGTCACTCGGATGGAAACCAAAAACAATCAAGGGGCGCCGCACACAATGCCCAGGGGAAAAGAAAACATTTGCCCAAACAAAGGAAAAAAGAATAAAAGGGCGACGCGCAGTCGTGCGCAGAGCAAAGGCCCAAACAAGAAAAGAAACAGACGCCCCACTCGCCCCCAACCACGCAGGGCGCAGTGAATGGCGTAGAAAGCAAAAGAATTAGCGCCCAATACACCAACGGTGAAACAGCAATGAGTTAAAAATGAAAGATCCTGGGCGGGGGGAATTTCGGCCCACGGGGATGCACGCAACTATCATTAACGGCGGGGCACCGCTCCGCTCCAGGCACCACTCAGCACACGGCCAGAGAAGCCACGACACCCAACCACAGCAGCAGCAACGGCCCACGCACCCACGCAGGGCTCCCACTGCCGTCCGGCCCAGTCACCTTCACAGCGTCAGGAGTCACGCCGTTCACTCCAGACAGATCTCCGCTCAGTCCAGTAGCATCAGCGCCCTGCTTTGCAGCCCCCGCCTCACCTGCGGTGGATGTCGTCGACAACTGCACGGCATCTGCAGCGTCTCCAGAACTAGCCTCAGCAGTAGCAGACTCTGAACCACCGGCGTGCTGTTGTGCGACATTCATGTTCTTTTCTGCCGTCGACGCATGATCCTTTGCCTCTGTAAGAAGCTTCACTGCCTCTGCCTCTTCTGGCATCACCGCCTTCTCCGCTGGGAGCTCTGCCGCCGCACCGTCCGCCGCTCCACAGCTGCGCCCCTTCGCGGGACACTGCGGCCTCTCCTGCAAGCCGCTGCGCTCCGCGACCCTCACGGCACTCTCCTCAGCCAACGCGTCCCGGATCTCAGCGGGGAGGCCCTGCTTCGCCTCTGACAGCAGCCTCTCAGCCTCCTGAAGGGCTTCAGCGGCCGAGCCTTGCGCCCACTCCGCGTACTCCGCAGACTCCTTCATCTCCTTCGCACCGCTGGTGGTGCTCCCCGCCCCAGTTTTCAGTTGGTGCTTCAAGACCTCAACCCTGATGCGGTTGTTCTCGGCGTGTGAGTGTGTCCTCCTCACGGCATCAAGGGACACTTTGCCTGCATGCATGGCGCGCTGGGCCGTATCGCCCGCCGCTGTGGCGTGCCTCGTCAACTCCTTCACACGTTCTTCGGCCCTTCTCAGCTTTGCCTGCTCAGTTGCGTCCGTCGAAGCAGGCCCGTTCCGCGGATACAATGCAGCCTCGAGCGCATTCTTCTCGTCCGCCGCCTCCTTCACCGCATGGAAGGCCCGCACTCGCTCCAGCTCCGCTGACACAATGACGGTGATGGCCTCTTGAGCCGCCTGGAAGGCAGCCTTCGCCGACTCCGCGGTGCGTTCATAAGCCGCCTCCGCTCGGTCCAGCAGTTCTTTGCCACGTCCCCCATCTCCGCCCTCAGCGATTGCATCTTTCGGCGCAGCGGCGGCAGCCACACACCCACAGTAGCAGCACAGCGCAACGGTCAGCACACACAGCACGCGGCGCCGCACGGACATTGGAATAGCCTGAGAGGTACCTGGTGTCTCTGCGGGGCGGGAGAGGGCACGCACAGAGCAAATAGGGCACACGCAGAGGCACAGCAGAGGAGAGAGCAGCAGCCAAACGGCGCACCGCACCAAAGAGGCGTCACTCGGATGGAAACCAAAAACAATCGAGGGGCGCCGCACACAATGCCCAGGGGAAAAGAAAACAAACCAAATTACCAAGAAGAAAGATGGGAGAACAGCACACCCATGGCGGCGCTGTACACGCACGTACAGTGCAGCTACGCGTACTGCTGGGTGTGTGCCTCAGTGTGCAATGTCAGTGCCATACGCGAGAGTGAACGCGCACAGCGTGACACGTCACACAAAGGAGAGTCATATATTGGAAAGACAATATAGAAGGCGGCGCACAGCAATGCGCACGCTCAGGCTTTACCAGACGAAACAAAACGGCATATCATGGTGCAAATCCATACGTCTATACATGGTTGTATGCTTTTGGTTGGGCGGTGTGTGTCCATATAGGCGCAGTGTGTATCAACGATGGGGCGGAACAAGAGGCGCGGCAGCCACCGACTGGGCGCCACCCCGCCACCTTCGACGCCACACATTGCAAGAGAGAAGGGGGAAGGATGTGGCTCGGGTCTCCAGTGCGCTTCGCAAGGCGGCCTCGACCGCAGCGCAAGAGAAACAGAGCTGGTGCAATCAAAAACACAAAAAAAGCAAAACAAAAAACAGTCTCTTAGTGTGGGGGAAGTTTAGTCCCACACGCCGGCACGCGCTTACACGTTGAGCAACACCCCCACTCCACCAACACGCTGTTCAGCAGATGGCAAGGCAGGCTGCGGTACCCAACAACAACAACAGCGGCAGCAGCGGTGCATGCACTGGCGCAGGGCTGCCACTTCCATCCAACGAAGTCAGCGCCGCAGCGTTCACCTCATCGGAGCGCACCTGAGGAAGGAGCCGGCTCAGGGGCATTCTGCAGACGGTCTGTCGCCCCTGCCCCCTTCGCAACTGCCTCTGCCTCTCCTGGCATCACCGCCTTCTCCGCTGGGAGCTCTGCCGCCGCACCGTCCGCCGCTCCACGGCTGCGCCCCTTCGCGGGAGCCCGATCCGCCTTCTGCAAGACACTGCGGTCTGGGGCATTCGCGGCGCGTTCCTCAGCCATAACGTTCCGGATCTCGGCGGGGAGGCCCCGCTTCACACGGGACATCAGGCTGCCCACCTTCTGGAGGGCTTCAGCGGCCGAGTCTTGCGCCCACTCCGCGTACTCCGCAGACTCCTTCATCTCCTTCGCACCGCTGGTGGTGCTCCCCGCCCCAGTTTCCAGTTGGCGCTTTAATACATCAACCCTGATGCGGTTGTTCTCGGCGTGTGAGTG